GGGGGGGGAGAGGATTCAAACCCGGAGCTCCCAGACCTAGGCCAACACTGTATCCACTACCCTGAATCTTTAGGAGAGCAGTGTGATTAGCTCAGATGATTGGAGAACTAAAATTCTACTCAACAAATACTCAAGGGTCACACCAAAACTTATTAACAAAAATCACTAGTTTGATGAAGTCGGATCCCCAGTACTGTGTCTCAAAAAGATAGCTAAACTCAACCCAAAATGCTTTGCTTCATTTCTTATCAGAGGATGATTTGGTACAAGAATTCCTGTCAATGGACACATGCTACAGAATTTCAGATAAGGTAGGTTAACCTACAGAATTGTGTGTTCTCCCCTATACCCTGAGTAGTGCAAATGTTAAAGAATATTATTTTGTAATCTGAATATTCATACTTTGCACTAAACTGGTTCTTGAGGAGGCTTACAGCAAATAAATTAAATACATAAAACAGAAACTATTAATATAATAAAAACAGCCAGTATAGAACATTTACAGTTCTATTTACCTTAAAACTGAGGGGCACCATTTTCCTGACTCCATTTTATATAATTACAGAAACAAGGTGCTTTTTGCCTTAGGTTCCAAGTTGTCTTGTTGCTTGTGCCTCTGCCCATCTGTTTCCTTTCTCTTACGTAATTATTGGTCTAGGACAGATTTTTTTAAACCTAACTTTTTCACACAGTATCTTCTAGCTATGGTGCTGACATACTTCAAACGTGCTGGCCTGCATATAAGAGAATACACACGGATAAATCTCTTCACAGCTTTGTAAGTCTCTTGTGACTCTTTATTTTCTTTATTATCAATTTGAGCAGCGAAGAGAAAACAAACTAAATAGATCTATTAGACTGGGAATTGGATTCAGACCAAATTGGCAATTTCCACTGATTGCCTTTTCCCACTGCCAACCCCCTTTATGTCATTCCTCAGGGTCTTCTACTCCACAGGAGCAGCATTTCAAGGAGGTCAGTGGAGTGAAAGGGAGGGGGATGTCCATTCTGTTGATGCTGAATTTTAGAGGCTCTTGGAATACCCTTGGAACTTAGCAAAACTGTGCAGACCAGCACTTCTTCCCCCCTTCACTGAGTTGGGGGTGGGTTGCCAGGTTCTTCCTTGTTTAGCTTGTGATGCAGCATGAATGCATGGCACTTGGCATGGCAAGAAAAACTGCCCTTAGTTATGGAAAACTATTCTAAGCTGGGAAGTAAATTATTTTTTTGTTCTACTATTTGGAATGTGATCTAGTGCAGGCAGCTAGGTAGGCAGCTTCCAGCATGCATTCGCATTTGTGATAATAAGACTATTTAGCTGGCACCAGCATACCAAAAACCAGGAGTATAGTACATCCAGATCAGTTTTGGAACTGTGTTTGGATGTACACTGGTGATACCTTCAACTTGAATTACGGTACTTCTGGTCCTGCCCCTAGTATGTGCAAACAGCCTTGGCCATAACAGTTGGTGCTGGACTTGCCCATATATGCAGCATTGCTGTTTGGTGTACTCAGTCTGGAGTGGATACAAGAGGGTATCAGCTGTACATGTATTGCAAATGATTCTCTGCAGAACAGAAGTATTGCTGCTGCGACTTAGACAGAGCTGTCTCTATAGCCAGCACAACCCTCTTGTCTTCTACTGCCACCCTTTGTTTGCTGGCACACCAGCATTTTCATAGGTAGATGTTGCATTTCATTTGGCACTTGGGCCATATAGTCCCCCTGTCTCTCATCTAGTGTTCTGTAGGGGAAGTCATCAGAAATCTACCCAACCATATCTCCTTTTCCTGATTACAGGTACTTAGCTAATGATATGGAAGAAGATGAAGAAGACTACAAATATGAAATTTTCCCCTGGGCGCTTGGCGATAACTGGAGGCAGCTGTTTCCGCAGTTCTTGAAAACACGGGATAGCTTTTGGGCAAGAATGAAGTACAGAGCATTTGTTAGTCGGAGATGCTGTGATGAGGTTAGCCACAACTTTGTCTTTGGATGTTCTTGGCACTGGTGTGCTGTGGTTATGTGTCTATTCCTTAAATGACATGTAAGGTATCCCACTGGTTGTGGGACATCCCATCTTTCTGGGTGGGATGTCCCATCTAGTGGACCTTTGTGATGGTAAGAGTTGGAAGAAACAAAGCATGAAGTTCCTTTTAAGCAAGAGGCTTCTGAATTTAGAATCTTAAGTTGTCCTTTAACTTTTAACCTAGATAATGTTGAAAGAGCCCACTCATTGGGCCTGGTCCCGGGAACGACCCATCCACCACAGTGGGGCACTGAGGAGTTACCTAAAGAATGAAAAGGACTTATTCCCTAGAGGGCCTGGCGTAACACCCCCAAGCTGCCTCCTCTGTGCATTTGATTTGATAGAAGATGATGCTGAGGGATCTCCTCCTGCCAGCAACGTTCCCGCCACTGACCTGTTACCTTTCACGGAGTGGAACCAGGATTTGAACAACCTTCCTCTATTGATGCTGGATCCAAAGACTAACTACAGCGTGCAGAGTAAGTAATAACCAGCATCACCTTTTGGTTCTGTGACATCGTCTTGATACATGGCATGCATTCCTCTAACCTTCAAGGTTGCCTCTTTCAGAGCTTTCCACTTTGCACAGGGGGTGAAGGATTCCTTGAACTGAAATAATACCATTGGTGGCAAATCCATAGATTGGGGTCCACAGCCTTTTTCAACCTGCTGGCACATTTAGAATTTTGAGGGGGGTTGGTGAGTACCACACCAAAATGGCTGCCACGGGAGGCGGGGCTGAATGGAATACATCCTTCCACACGCCTCCTGAGAAAGAAGGCCTGAAGGGGAAATGGAACAACACAGTGACTATGAGAAGGAAACCTGAAAGGGAAATGGAGCCATAAGGGAAACCCCAGTGCTTACCAGTCCCTCTGATTCTTCAGTGGAAACCCCTTTCATTTGAATGAGAGCAGCCAATAATAAGCCTCGCCAGGGCTTTTTTTTGTAGAAAAAGCCCAGCAGGAACTCATTAGCATAACAGGCCACACCCAACAGCAGGAACTCATTAGCATAGTAGGCCACACCCTGACAGCACAGCACATTAGCATAGTAGGCCACACCCCCATGTCACCAGAAGTGTTGTCATCCAGCCACACCCACCTTTTGCTTCTTATTCTGTTTACCTTGTTTGTTGTCAAAACCCAGGCCTTTTTTTGTAGCAGGAACCCTTTGCATGTTAGACCACACACCCCGAATGTAGCCAATCCTAATGAGTTTCTGCTGTTGGGTGTGCCCTATTATGCTAATGAGTTCCTGCTGGGCGTGGCCAACTCAGGAGCCAGCCGGAACTCCGTTCCTGTGTGTTCCTGCCCAAACATAGCCCTGAGCCTCGCCTTACAATGGCGCCACCAACCACTTTCTGAAAAGCTTGGTAGGTGCCAAGGGAAGTACTGACATGTACCATGGTGGCCATGGGCATCATGTTGGGGAACCTGCCATACGTAAGTGCACGTAGTGACTCTTCCTGATCACAGCAAAACAGTGGGGCGTTCTCTGTTTATTAGTGTGTAGGCTTAATAACACCTTTTTGTAAGGAGTACATGAATGTCAGATCTTGATGAAAGGGCACCTGGGAATGATTACAACAGAAGATAAATGGGAGCAGCTGTGTTTAAAGAATAACTCTGAGGTAGCTTTTCTCAGTTATCAGAGTGGATCTCCGTTATCAGAGTGGATGTCTCTCTGGTGTCATTCTTGCTTTGGAGTAGCTTTGTCCCAGTTAGAACTGGCAAAGTCATGAAAGCATCTTAAGTGTTAACAATACCTTTATGCGTCTCCAGGACGATCTGAACGTGCCCTGGACCGGTAATCTGGAGGAAACCAACAGTTAGTTAGCTTACTTTGACCACTTACCAGCTTAGGTGCAAAAGGTTGGATTTTTCTGCCCACATGACAGCAGTTTTCCCTGTCCTTGTGGTGGCCATTTCCTCCACCACCACTGGATATGTGTGGCATTTAATTGCCAATTGAATATGGTTATATAAGTATTATAACTATCTGTGTACCAGGTGTCTATCTCAGTGGTTCCCAAAGTTGGTAATACTGTCCTGGGGGGATTATCTGGGGGGGGTGCTAAGAGGCAAGGGGGTGGCTGGGGATGCTGGAGGAGGGCCCCTTGGACCACGTTGTCCACTTACCTACAATTGACAAGGCTCTGGCACCATACTAGCAAAACATACTGGCACCATACTAGCAAAACATACCAGCACCATACTAGCAAACTAAGTTTCCGCCTCCTGCTGCATAGTGCTAAAACCTACTGAAAACGTTTGGGATTTTTAGTAAATACACCACCAGCACTCTAGTCAGACCAGTACACTGTGTTTTGAGGAACTGTTGTCCCTGTGTACACTTTTGTCTGTTACTTTTCAAGTATTTGCTGGTACGTCCTGAGAGACGATACCTCTCAGCAACAATTCAGTGCAAGGACAAATAGGTGAAATGGCTGAAATGTGGAAGACGCATTGTGCAGCATACTAAGGACAACAGAATGTGCATTACAGCTGAATGAGCCAGCTTTGCCAGGCAATGAATCTTTGCCTATTTTGCAACGGTATTAATTTGCTTCTCCAGCAATAATGTTGGGTCCAGTATACCTCTGAGGGCTCTTCACTGAGTCAGCAAGAGTGAGCTGAACCCCGTCGATAGTGAGGACCATAATGTCCTTCAAGACATCTACCTTCCCAACCAGCATTACTTCTGTCTTTCCAGGATTTAGGTAGTTTCCATTTGTTCACTCTTAGCCATTTAACCACAACAACCGGGTGGCTATTTAGAAGAACCTCTACTGCTATCCCCAGGTGGGGAGGGCAGGATATTAATTAAATAAATAAATCACTAGGAGATTTGGATAAGGGTGCATATAATTGTGTATCATCTGCACATTGATGACCGCCAACCTCCAAACACCATATGCTTTGGCCTAAGGGTTTTACATAAAGATTGGAGAACATGGGAGACAGGATTGTGCCCTGTGAGACTCCACAGGATAGGTCCCACACTGTTGATAACTGGTCTCCAGTGGCAATTCTTCGGTTTCAGTCCATGAGCAATGTTTTGAACCAGTCCAATGTACAACCCCTGATGCCTGCTTCTGCCTCCGGGTGCCTCAACACAATGGCATGGTCCACTGTGTCAAAAGCGGCAGATAAATACAGTAGGAGCAACAAGGAGACCTGGCCCTTGTCTACATTTAGATGGCAGTTGTCAATTAAAGCCAGCAGAGCCATCTGCATCCCATAGCCCAGTCTGAAACCAAACTGAAAAGGATCTAGTGCAGATGAGTTATCCAAGAAGCTCTGGAGTTGGTCTGCTACTGCTCTCTCAGTCACTTTGCCTTGGAAGCACAGATTAGAGACAGGGCAATAATTGGCTACATTTTTCTGTAGGGATGGGTTTTTAGTAGTAAATAGATAACCACCTCTTTGATCAGTTGAGGGAAAGTGTCCTGCATTAGTGATCCATTTATAATACTAAGGATTTGTTGATGTGGTCTTACATGATTATAGAAGCCATGATGGGTAAGGATCCAGGGCACAAGTAGTGAACTTAACAGATCCTAGGAGTTTGTCAACATCCCTTATGGAAATTGAGTTAAAAGTGGTCCATACGTAGAACAGGCGGTGTACTGGGCAGTTCTTCTGGTGGTCCTATAATACAGTCAGCATCTAAATCGGAGCATATTCTTATCAGCAAAAAGCTTTGAAAAAGTTACCACAACTAATTGTCGGGTCCTGATACAAGGAAGGCTCAATTTTAGGAGTCAGTAGATGCTGTGTTACCTTAAATAATTGGGATGGTCATGAACGAGCTGATGCAATCATAGCAGAGAAATAAAACTTCTTAGTCACAGATCTTACAGTGAGCTCTATGACAGGATTTGTCAGATTTAGTACGAGTTCTCTGCCAGTGCTGTTCTAGATGTATCCCAGCCAGGGGTCATTTCGGGGGGGAACGCGGGGGAACGCAGTTCCCCCGGGTGAGGTGCAGGGGGCGGGGCACATGACGAAGCCCCGCCCCCTGCTTCCGGCCATCCCGCTTCCAGCCCTCATTCAGCCAGGAGGAGGCAGGAGAAGAGGGAGGGTAAGTTGCTTCCTCCCCGCCTCTCCCCACTCCTTCCTCCCTGGGGCCAGGGAGGGCCTTGGCGGGGCTTCCTCGCACTCCCGCTGGCCTTGCAGGTCCACCGCCAGGCCCCTGATGTCAGGGGGTGTGGCCATATGCTAATGACTTCCCCTAGCTCTTTTTCTACGAAATGACCCCTGATCCCAGCTCTTTTCTGATCAACCAACTCTGTGGTAAACCAAGGGCAGAAGAGGTCAACCCTGTCGATGGCTTCAAATTCCATGCTTCTACTGAAACCTCAACAGTGCATGTGTTTGGAATCCTAAAATCCCCTAGAGCGTTCTGGAATGCAGTAGGATGCACGAGGCTCCATGGGTGGACCATTTTAGCTTTCTTCTGCAGAGTGTTGGAGCCCCATTGACTTTGGTTTTGAGTAGGAGGTAGTGATCAGACCATGCTTCAGGACGAATCTCCAGCCCTGACTTTAAAACTGCCCTCAAAGATTAAGTGCGAAAGGTTCGAGGTGTGACCTCATTCATGTGTTGATTTGAGATGGACCCAGGAAGACAAAGTTATAAAATCCTTGGTCAGCCCCAGTGAGGTATCCTCAGCATGAACATTGAAATCTCCCATAATGACGACTCTGGGTGTCTCCGGCACTAAGAACAGACATTTAAGAGGAGTCAATATTTTATGCCATTGAGCAGTTCTTCAAAACCAAACAAATTCCACTTACTAACATACTTCCTTGTGCAAACTGATGGAGTACTATCAATGACTGATTGCTACCATGGGTGTGTTGTTTACTTGAAAAAAACAATGCCAAATGTCTTTACCACTCACTGTGTCTTCTGTGCCAACAATTAGTTGCAAAAAACCTCAGTAATCACTTGCACATCACTACACACTGTCATAATTGCAGTGAATAAAATTAAAGCCCGTGCTGTTGATGATTGACTATTGTGGGAGCTCTGTGTTGAGCATGATAAAGTTTTTGAACATTTGCTGCTTCATCCTGAAGTTCATTGGCTATCAATAGGCAACTATGTTAGACACTTTTATGACCTTTTTGACACCGTTGTGGAGTTTCTGAAGATACCAATGCTTTGCTCAGTGATGAACTCAAAGAGATCAGCATGACACTGCTTATCAGAACTATTTGCAAACTTCAATGAAATGAATTTGTAGTTGCAAGGAAATGAGGTCAATATTTTTAAGGCCAAATCTGTCGCCTCTACATTTATTTCAAAGTTAACTCTATTCAAATGCAATACAGGCTGTCGTGAGCTATACCAACTTCCAAGCCTGTGTGAGCTAGAAGAGAAAGGTGGAATACAAGATGATGATCTGCAGGGTTTTTGTGACCATTTGGATATGTTGCATGACGATATATATGAGCGATCTGAGGATCGTCTTTTAATGGAAATTCCAGATTGGGTGAAAAATCTATTTGACACTGAGAAAGATGGAGTTGTGGAGGAAGAAATAATTGAGCTACAAAATGACATTGAGCTGAAGCCAAGGTTTAAGAAAACGTAAGAGTTTTGGTTACAGAAGGAAGTTTCTGATTGCTATCCAGCACTGTGGACAGTGGTTAAGAAGCCCCTTGTTACATTTCCAACATCATATTTTGTGGAATGTGGTTTTAGTGTGGTCATCCAACTTCTCTCCAAGCAAAGAAATTGATTCCAGATTACTACTCCATTGGAGAACTGCTGTCACTTCATCAAGCCCATCCATGGCATTAAGGATTTACTGAACAGTGAAGTAGTTACTAAATGTGTCTTTCTAAATGACTATGAGACTTTGAAAAGATGGTGTCACTGGATCAGGTTCATCCATTTTGTTCAATAATTTAAATTTGCATTTAATTTGCATTTTAATTGGATTTTGAATAAATGTACGATTGTTTTATTATCTTCCTTAGTGGGCTTTGCAAAGCAACTATTCTGAATAATGCTTTTTGTTGCATAGGGAAAGGGGCACTGCAGATGAGTTTATGGAATCGAGGAGGCAGTGACCTGATAAAAAGTTGGGAACTACTGGTCTAGCCCCTTTGGTTGCAGACATGGAAGGAGAAAGACTTCGTGAAAGTTCAATGATAATGTCAACCCAGTGTGCGGCCACAATGAAAAAGGCAAAGTCCATGCTAGGAATCATAAGAAAAGGGGCTGAAAATAAAATGGCCAATATTGTAATGCCCTTGTGTAAAGCTATGGCGCAGCCTCATTTGGATTACTGTGTGCAGTTGTTGTTTCTGCATCTCAAAAAGTACACTGTAGGACTGGGAAAAGTACAAATGAAAGCCATGCATAAGATTAGAGGGTTGGAGCACTTTCCTATGAGGAAAGCCTGGAGAGTCTGGGATTTCTCAGTCCACAAAAAAAGATGGCTAATGGGAGACAGGAGAGAAGTTTATAAAATTATGCATGAGGTTTAGAAAGCAGATAGAGGGAACTTATTCTCCCTCTGCCTTAATACTAAAACTTGGGGCATCTAATGAAATTGTTGGGTGACAGGTTCTGGGCAGACAGAAGGAAATACCTCTTTACTCAATGAGGTTCAGGGCAGAGAGAAGGAAATACCTTTTACTTAATGAGTAATTAAATTGTGAAAGTCACAGCTAGAGGAGACAGTGATGGCCATGAGCATAGATAGCTTTAAAAGGGGGTTAGACAGATTTATGCAGGGGAGGTCCATGAATGGCTACTAGCCACAGCTGCTAGAGCCTCCATATCCAGAAGCAGT